GAATGTTATTATCTCCGAAGTCTTATCAAACCTATTGTATACATTGTTCTAAATAACAGATCGTTGATTTTTTTTTTGAGTCATAGTGTGCAGAGTTTTTGAATCGTAACCAAACATCTGATGATTCATCTTTCTTCCTGGAATTAATTTTCCCAGATTTTTGTCGTTCTCATTAAGCTACCTTCTTATTGGATGCTACATATTACCATGTGTAGTCAACAATCACAAGATAGACGTATCAGTCGTGTCGCTATCATCGTTCAGTTTTCTTCGCGCAAGTGTCATAGCAACAGTTTGATATAAGTTCTGTTTCGTTCATACAGTAGACTTCGCTCCAGTGGCGGATAAAATATTATTACAAGTAACAAGTAATCTTTTGTAATTGATATTAATAAATATTAGATATTACATATATTACAATAATACATTAGAAATTATTTGTTCGTACTGAAAATGTTGAGCTATAATTTTTAAACATTTCTGTTCAATGATTTCGTACTTCTCTTTTGACAAGAATGTGATGTCTTGATATTTGATTTCATTTCTTGAAGTTAAAACAACGTTTGCAATTTCTAGTGACCTGCGGACCTGTATGCAAAATAAAAATTGCACTAATTACGAGATGAAGGAGCTAAGTTGATATTTACTTAGTTTCTTGATCATTTTAACATGTTAAAATTCATGCAACGATATTTCTAAATTCTTTAAATGTGTTCACTATTTTGTACAATAGTTACAATAAATTAACGATAACATTCTTTATTCTTAACATTCTTTGTATTCGATCTACTTATTTTTGCTACAAATGTATGAAATCCGCAGTGTAATAATTACAATAAAGCAAAGATAAGACAATAGTATACAGGGTGTTTCACGTAAGTTGAGACTGCAAAAAACCTCATGACACGTAATTTGAGAAAAAAAAAGACAAGCTTACGCACCTCTTTCTGTATTTTAAGTGGGGATTCGCGAATGGTATTGCTATTGTTCTTTTACATTAAACAAAATTAACTGTGAAATAAACTTGAAAATTCCGCTAAATATCTCAAAAAATACAGAATTCAAACAATTTGGTTAATTTGAAAAACAAGTGACTTCGACCCCTGTAGGTATACGTTAATGGTCGCTAGTTCCAGTGTTAAACAATTTCAAGTCTCGAACATTTGCCTGAAAATTTTGCTCGTCTGTTTCTCTAGGAGTGAACCATCCCAAGATGAATATTCTCTTCGCCTTGACGCTCGTCTGCATGATCGTGGGTGGCAATGGTGCTCGGATATTGGGAGTGTTCCCGTTCCCAGCGAAGAGTCACTATAACGTATACGAGCCGTTGCTGAAGGGTTTGGCGAGAAAGGGCCACGAGGTCGTCGCCGTCTCTTATTTTCCGCAGAAGGTGCCTCTGCCGAACTTCACCGACGTGGACATCGGCTCTATCATGCCAGACGGGACAAACACGCTGTCCTTCGACAAATTTGGCGACAGAAAGTCAACGGTGTACGACGTCAAATTATTTATTCAATTCTGCGGCCTGATCATTTGCGAGCCGACGTTTCAGCATCCTAAAATTCAGAGCATCCTCAAGTCCAAGGAGAAGTTCGACGTGTTCATCGTCGAGATGTTCGCCAGTGATTGTTTCTTAGGCATCGGCCACGTCTTGGGCATACCTATCACCGTTGCCATGATCAGCAGCGTCACTCTACCTTGGGCCAACGACATGATCGGGAACCCTGACAATCCCAGTTATATTCCGAATTTCTTCAGCGGTCTGTCTGATCGGATGAATCTCTTCCAGAGGATGGACAACCTGTGGCACTACGTTTATTCCAAGATCCATTACAGGTGATGCTCCTTCTTTCGTTTTTGGGCGGTTCAAGGTTGAAGTGTAGGATGAACGTTGATAGTACGTGGAATGAAAATCTTTCGGCTGTACTTTTCTTGTTAATCTCAGTTGATTGATTCGTTTCTGATGAGATCTGTTTTAGAATTACAGTAAATTCTCCCCAATTGACGCTCAGCTTGGAAACAAAAATGGACAATTTTCGAAGAGAATTTTCGAGCCTTGAAAGATTAATCGAGCCTTGCGGCTCGTTTTTATAATCATTGACAATCGGTAACTACAAAAACGAACCGCGAGGCTCAAATAATCGTATTTCCTCTTCCCAAATTGTTCATTTTTTTTTGTACAATCTGAGCGTCGATTAGGTAGAATTTACTGTACTCATTAAGCGTCGAATCTGCTTTGGAGCTATTAACGACATTACATTAATTACGTTACATTATATTACACTGCATTATGCTATATTACATTTCATTGTAATACGTTGCATTGCGTTGCTTAAAAGTTTGTGACAAAATTGTACACTGCTTTAAATGATACTGATTTAGTGATTGGAAATTAATACTGGAAACGAACTATTTTGCAATGATTGCAATGCACGAGCAATCATTAAATTATGCATGACGCGAATGTTTTCTTAATACATTCGTTTCTCACACTACATTATATATTATATGTGCAGCAATCAATTACATGTCCAATCGTACATTGATTTGCACATTTTAACTGTTTGATTAATTTTATTCGTCTGTTTCGATGATTGAGTTAAATAAATATTTTCTTCCTGAGAAGTTCGATAACGTATTTAGACATCATTTTCATAAAATTGTTTGTATTATGTTCGTTTCATACAATATTTGATTTTATTGTATTTAATCTTTTTTTTATTTTTTGTTATGGTCTGTTTTGATTAAATTCGTTCGTCAATTACAATTAATTGGAAAATAATATTGGAAAAGATGAATAAGCTCGATGAATGAATAAGCTGAATAATGAAAAGCTAGCTCAGAAACATCAAGCGTTATTCCACATAGTATTTTTCTAAAACGTAAGTATTATTTCCATTATCTATTCGATATCACGAAACTTAAGTTCTCGATATCCAGATTAAATGTATTAATTTTATCTTAGAAAGTACAATAAGTTTGTGAGGAAATATTGGTAATAATTTATTCGAAGTACACGAACTGCTATCATTATTATCATCGTACTTTGAAATTACACTATTTACAGTAAACTCTTGTCTTAGCACATCGAAAACTAACAGTAAATAAGAAATAAGTAAACTAGGAACACAGATACATTCCACAAGTCACTGCACTTCCATTAGATCTTTCGCAATGTACAGGTAAGAACACCGATATAAATCACAATGGCGTTCCTGGATTGTCTTATCATAAGCGTATACACCTTACGGACCTTATCATAACGCGTATGATAACTCTAAAGCAACGAGTCATACTACAAAGCCAAACGTCTTGCGACATTAAACCATTATTAATACATAATTCACTGTCACAGATTTGTTTACTCTTAAAAAACTGACAAATACAGGATGGGTCTCGCAACATAACGACATCAAATAAAGAAAATGTTTCAGTTAGAAGTTACATGGTTTAGAGGGAGGCATATAGTGCTCTATAATCAGTTTTACGATATTTTACCTTTTAGTTCTCCAGACCATCGTTGTATTAACACTTAGCCAACCGAACGGGGAGATCTCCCCGTTTTAAATTCAGTCGATTGACGACCGAATGGATGATTAATGAAAAATTAAAAATGATTGCTTAATTCTATTAAGATTTGCAAGAGGTGCGAATGCTGAAGAAGTAATCGATGCCATATAAGTTTGCTTCATCATTTTTATTTAATCGAATGAAATATTTTAATTTTATGAAAATTTTTGAGGTTTCCAACGCGGTCGTGGAAGCGTTGAGAATGTTTAAACCGTTAAAAAATTGCATTAGAATTCGCATTGCATTTCTTGCCACTAAATTGTGTAAATTTTGCCATAGATCCTTATAAAATCTTGCTTTTAACCCCTTTTAACCCCAATTGGTATGATTTCTAATTTTCAGAATATTACTATTATTATTATTATTGTTGTTGTTATTATTATTATTATTATTATTATTATTATATTTTATTTTACATTATATTTTAGTAAAATATATATTGAAAAATGAGCGAATCAGAATCTGAATATGAATACGCTGTCGGAAAGCGGCTCACAAGGAAGCGATAAGTCGTAAGTGTGATAAGTAGAGAAAGGATATATTTTATACTTGAATAAGTAAGTGTTACAGCTTACAATCCCATATAAATGATAAATATCAATAAAACGATTGTTTTTTTTTGCTTTCACATTATTTTCAATTCTCGATTGCATTCGAGTGTGAAAAATTATAGCAACATAAAGTACAACGCCGCTCGAATTATCTCGAGTGTGCACAGTT